GTTCGAGTGGAAGGGTGACTGAATCAATGTTCAGTACAAACGTTCCAACGCGACGTTAAGCTCACTGGGTAACTCTACGGGTTTAACGCTCGTTAGCATGTGAAGGCCTTGAGCAAAATGCAAGGAAATAGATACGCAGAAAAGACTAGCGGGAAATACAAAAGGTAGTGGGGTTCTAGCTCTGTTATTAAATAATATAATCAAATAAGAGAAGAGTAGGGTATAGAGAGTTGATTAAAAAAATCTGGAGAAAAGTAGATGTCAAATAGAAAAATTATTCGAGCTCGCGGTATCTAGATACTAAAAAATCTTTAATATTTTAAATGATTTTAAGAATTCCTTTAAGTTAAATTTCATCCGTTTCATTTGGTTTCTATAGCCTTCAAACTTCCAATTGTATGTGGAATTCTACCTGGTGAAGTTATAAGGAGACATGTTTACAACTATCGTATTTAAATCTTTGGCTCATAATTTTTAAAAGCCTATATTAGTTAATAATTAATACGTTGTATTATGTTTCAAAAACTATTCATAAATAATTTAACTACTTTTTTGAAAATAACTATTTGAAATATATTTTGAAAAGAACAAGGTAGGCTGTTACCTAAAATATTCGTTTTCAAAGGTATTTAAGCAATAGAAAATTTTGTAGAAATTCAGTTTTTGTTCAACTTTGAAATTGTAAACTCATAAAATAAAAAGTAAAAAAAACTTAACTTGAAATATAAATATATTTTTATAAAATAAAGAAAATATTTTCCATGTAGGAAACATATTCTTCTAATTTATTCGTGGGAAGTATAACAGAAGAAGACTTTTTCTCATAAATATTTTATGAGCTAATTTTTTTCTTAAACGAGATCAACATTCTTGTAATTTTTTCCAATGAATTTTCTATGTCAAATACCATTCATCATTAAGCATGGTTAATTTATAACATAAAAAGTATCGATATGAATAGGTGTCAATACTTTAGATCCGATATTTTTCAGGTATCGATACTTTGTTTCGATACTACTTCCAAGTAAAAGTATCGATACTTTCATGGTATCGTTTCATCCCTACCTACAAATGAGGTAATTCGCTCTCAATATTTTGTATGGCGAATCACGTAATTCGAAGGGTAATACGAATGGGAGAGCGAATTACGTGCCGTGCGCACTTAGTATAATCCGCGACCGTAATTGGAGAATCGAACAAAGTAATTCACGGTGGCGTAGGAAAGCCTTATTACCTTTTACAACACTGAAAGACTAGCTAACGACTCTTCTTCACAGGCGGAAATTAATGTCCCCCGTATGTCATTTGGTTTGCGAGATATGTATAAGTTTTGGGTGTATAACATAATCCAGACAATCAAAATCCAGAAATTCAAAATGCGGACAATCAAAATACAGACAAATCAAAAGCCAGACAAATCAAAATACAGACAAATCAAAATACAGACAAATCAAAATACAGACAATGGAATAAAAAATCGCGCGATTTTTTATTCCAAATTTTCAGTATTTCTTAAAATATAATTTAATATAAAAAAGCGCCGCAGGCGAAAATAAAAAATAAATAAAAAATAAATAAATTCCGGTACACTGAAATTGTTTTGATGAAGAAGGTTAGGGGTGGATTCGGGAATTTTTTAGAAAAGTATTCCCCGATTTGGGGCGGTTTGAGGAGTATGAAAAGAAAGGGGGCAATTCCCTGATGACGGAAACCGGCTACAGTGGCCACAGTATTTTTGCGCAGATCTCTCTGCGAGCCTAAATACGACTTAACAGAAACGATTTTGATTTGCAGAAATTGTATACATTTTTTCCCCTCA